TGCCGGACCCCGACGCGCCAGCCCGCGCGGCCCACAGGCCCCGGCCTCACTCCCGAAGCGGGGCGCCGGATCACCCGCCTCCGACCCCGAGCCCCATTGTTCTGGACCCCACTCACCTCCGAAGACACTGACGCAGGCCCGGCGGAGGCACTCGAGGCGAGGTCCCGGTGGCCCAGGAAGGTAGGTCGATGCCGGCAGGACCCGCGAAGGCGCACACGGCGACTTCTCCGCCTACCCTCCGGGGCGGGAGCAGGCGGAGGCGCCTCGCCCTCCTCGCGAGACAGCGGAGACCCCGGCGGCTGCTGCGACCCCTGTGACGTAAAACGCTCATTACCAAAGGCAGCCCGGGGGCGGGGCAGGAAGGGAGACCCAGCCCCCGGCCCAAACCACGCGTCAAAACACTCAACACCTGCTCTCGCGACAGCACCGACCGCGCCGGGCGCGCTGGGGGCGGGGCTCGGAGCGCGCGGCCCGTCCGGGGGCCCGGGCGCAGCGCAGGCTCGTGGGGGGTTAAAGAGCCCCCCCACCGATGTCTACTTCCTCTTTACCACGCACCCACACACACAACACCCGACCACTAAACCGCCCCAACTACCCCGAGAAGTTAGTAAACACTACGTAGATTAAAAGGAAGTGCTACACCCGCCTCGAGTCGAGGGAGAGCCACCATCAGGGCCCAGCCCAAGTCCGCCGACGTCGTCGGGAAGTCAGGGCGCAGCGCGCTCCCCACACAGATCCCAACTGTTCTCTCAAAGACGGCCCTGTCCCTTGAAAAGGTCTCCCAAGTAAACCAAGGACGCGCGGAGCGGGCGCCCACGGCCACGCCGGGCCACTCGGCCTCAGCTGCGGGCGTCGCCAGCGTCTGCAGGCTGAGGGCCTGGCGGGCCACAGTGTGGACGGGGCATTGCACCCAGGCCTCGGTCCAAAACGCCGTCGGCAGACGCTCGTGGACCGGCTGGGCCACGAGGCCCCGAACTCGTGCGCCTCGTACGCCTTCCTTTAAAAGCCTGTCGCCCCGCCTTCCTGGACTCCCGCGGACTGTTTCACACAACGCCCCGAGTTGCACAGAAGGCCGGGTGCAGTTATCCATGCCCAAGGCGGACGCGGGAACCGGGCGGGGGCGGGGGCGCATGGATGCCTCCAGCGCCAGGCGTCGAGGCCGCCTTTAAAACCGTGGACCGCGTCCAAGGAAAGCTCGGGCCTGCATCGCAAACCACGCGCGGCGTCCGTGCCCGGGCCCCGGGTCGGGGAGGACGGCGGGAAGGACCTGCTTACCCCTCCGGAGAACCACAAGCGAGCAACTTTAAGCCCATTTTCTCCCCGACTCCCCGGATCCATCGTGTGAGGCAGGCTCCGGCCCGGTCACGTGACCGCGCGCCCAACTCCGGGCGGAAGACGCCGGCCGGCCCCGCGGCTCGCGTCCCGGCAGCCTGTGGGCGGACGTTCGCGCCCGGTTGAAAGATGGCTGCGGCTGCTCAACGGCCGCCGCCCCGGAGCTCGGTGTAGGCCCCGCAGCCCCCCGCCTCGCCCCGCGCGTCGCCGCCGTCCGCTTACCATGAGGCCGGTGAGCCGCCGCTGTCTGGATTGGATTTATTCCGTGGTAAGTGGCCGGGCCCGGCGGAGGCCCTCCCAGCGTCGGCGCCCGGGGCCCGCAGGCGTTAAGGCCTCCCCGTCTTCTTCAGCAACCACAACCCCCAAACCCCATTCCAGAATCAAGCGGTTCACCCGCTCACCTCGACTCCGCCTCTTCCTGCAAGACACGCTCTTCCGCCTCTTACGCAAGGTCTGCGGGGTGGGCTCCGCAGTGGCCTCAGTTAATCCCCACCTCCCAGGCCTCCCGATCGCCGCGGGGCCGGGGCGGGGCGGCGGGGGCGG